TTATTTGGTTCTTAGAAACTCCTAGATTCTTTTGAGATTCATTGAACTTTTCAATGGCATGTTTCAATCTCGAGTGTGCCATTCATGTTTTGTGACTGCGATACCGAGGATCACAAAACAAGGTGTGAAGTAACCATGCAAATTACTTGGTACCCTTAATGTTTTTCACTTAATCGATGTGCCGGTTAACCACACGTGCTCCACCGACCTATGAAAAACCTTAAGTCACCCTTTGCCTACCTTGTTAAGTCCAAGTTAGTGTGTCGGTTAACCACACAACTCCACTAACGACTTAATCAATGTGCAAAGTGTAATTTCATGGGTTAGCACCTTATTCACATTTTCCTAAAGTAACTAAGATTGAGAATTTATAAAAACATTTAGTTACTTTATAATAATCATTATACTTTTAATGAGAATTTTAAGTCATTGTCCTACCCGTTCGGCTAACGACCCTCCACCAGTCAAGGAAGCGGTGGGTGAGAGTGGACACCCATTAAGCTGCCATTTTATAGGCAACAACCTTATACCCCCTTATAGACCGGCTTCGTGAATGAGGCCTACTAATGGTAAAACGACTTGATCTTATACATATATATATTATATTAAACTTATAATATTATAAAGTATAAGGGTTGAATTTTAACTTTTAAAATTCTAGGGGTTGGAACTAAAGTTTATTAGATGACTTTACATGTTCCAAAACTTGAGGGCAAGTTTTGTAACTTTACAAAACCATTCCATTCATAACTTATGAGTTATTAAAATGAAGGCTCTTCATTTTTGTAACTTATGTGGTCTTTTAATGGAATTAATACAAAGTGACTTTTGGTTATCCATAACTTGAGGACAAGTTATGGATCCATTAAAACACATAAAGATCATGAATTAAGCATTAAACAAGTAATCCCTATGATCTATCAAGAACTCATAAGAACATGAATCAACATATCAAAATTTCAAGAACATATGAACACACATAATCATGTAATTTTGATATTAGCCATTGAAAATAGATTAGAAAAACCATTACACCATCTAAAACAAGTTTTAAAACACCAAAACAGTTTAGGGCAAACTAAACAAGTTTCTAGTCGTTTTGCAAACCTACTCGACGCACTCAGGGGCTCCTACTCGTCGAGTGCAAGACCTACTCGACGAGTAGGATGAGTTTGGTCATGGACTCGTCGAGTCCCCCCATGGACTCGGCGAGTTCATGCTGCAGAATGCATAAAAACGAGTTTTTTTTCACAATTTTGCATCAAGTATCAAACAAACAAGTCTAGGCTCTGATACCACTGATGGGTTTTGAGCATTCTAACACTCCTAAGTGTACATGCAACCCTAGAAAACCTTGGATCTATGTTTGTCTAAAATACATGCAAAATACTTTTTCCAAGGTTCATAATCCTATCTAGCATACATGGGGAACTTTAATCATAAAAGATGGCTAGGATTACATACCTTGTAGTTGTTTTGATTCCTTGAAAACCTTGAGAGCCTAACACCCCCAAGTGTGATGCCTCAAATGTTTCACACAACACCAAATGCTCTTGGAATAAACTTTGAGAGAATGTAGAACACTTCTAATTCGGCTTGCCCTCTTGTCTCACTAGTGTAGCCGATTTTGGTTGCTCTAAGTATGCTTATATAGTGTGTTGCATTAGGGTTACACCATGTAAACCCTAATGTGACATGGCTCTTCATTTCCATGACCCATGGGTTTGTAACTCCCATGGAGCATCCTATGGACCTTAGCCTAACTTGATAACCCATGGAGCTTTTAGCCCACTATACAAGTTATGGATGATTTACATAATCAACCCATATATTTAATTAGTCTCCTTTTGATCACTTAATTAATTCTAAATTAATTCTTGATCAATACTTATTAAATAATAATATTAATATATTAGAACTTATAATATATTAATAAACCACAAGTGTTATTTCTCTCATTTAGTCTATCCAAATGCATGATGCCATGCAACCCAAATGGACCATGCCGGGTCGGGTCAAGTACATACCAGAAATAGTTATGGACTTAGACACCTTATCCAACAGTTTGATGTTAACAGTTCAGGAATCTGTCAACCAGCAGCTGGAGTTTTATCGGCGGGCTTCAGCAGTGCCAGGTGAGTTATCCTCATTATATCAACAGGGTCTAAGGCACCAAGGCCGACCCTTTATGGATTGTATTCGAATTATTGCATGTTATGCTTACTGATTTACATCCTGGTAGTTAGGATGGTGATATGCTATGCTTTAGTGACCCGGTTTGGTCGGTATCCTGGTATATAGGATGAGGCTATGTTAGTAACCTGTTAGGTCGATATCCTGGTTATGGATTGTTGCTATGCTTTGTGATCTGTTAGATCGGGTTGACTGTTATATATATACATGCTAGTGTTATATGATATCTATGTGCACATGATTGTCCTGGTTATAGGATGATGCTATGTTAGTGACCGGTTAGGTCGGTATCCCGGTTATTGGGATGTTGCAATGATTAGTGATCTGTTAGGTCGGTTTGACTGTTATATGATATGTGCTAGCGTATGATATTTATGTGCACATGTTTGTTTGATTGGGGGATGGGTTGAGGCGGTCCTGCTTTGTGTTGTAGGCCAACATACCCGGTGAGCGGTCCGGATAGGCTGTAGGCCCTGCGAGGCGGTCCAGTCATGCCCAAGGCTCGGGAGCGGTCCAGATAGGCTGTAGGCTCTGCGAGGCGGTCCATTCAGGCTGAAGGCTCATTATGCATGCTGTTCTGTATTTGTTATATGATATGGTTATATTTGTATGACGTTGGTATTTTAGGGAAACTCACTAAGCTGCGGGCTTACAGTTGTTGATTTTATTTCAGGTATTTCTGATGATCGCAGGAAGACGAAGGCGTGATTGTGCACCTCCTCATATTTTCATGATTGATTCTGGGGATACTCTAATGCTTAAACTATTTTGAAAACAAATTGTAATAACTTAATGGTTTTAAATGTTTTCAAAAGTTTTAAATTGGCTTGAATTTTACGGGTGTTACAAGAAATCCATTGTTCTTTAAATTTGTTCTGGAAAAAATAAAAGGCTTCCTTTTTGATATCGTTTACACCAGTCGACCATCTTCCATTTATTGATAGACCCATAATTTTTTTCCCTTTGTTGTTACTAACATAGCCATGAAAGAATTTCGAGTTTTCATCTCCGTCTACAACCCATCTTGTCTTCAATTTTTGCTTCATGTCCATCACATTCCTTTTCTCAAGCTCCAGTAGTTTTTGTATACCGTTACTTCTGGTATGCAGTTCATTGGGACTGAGTGCTCGAGATTCTGCCAATTTTTCTAGATTACCCAATAATTATGTAGTATTGATTAGCTCCTGGTTCTCCTTCTTATGTTCTTCATTTCTCTATTTTCTTATTTCATCCTTTAGATGTTTCAATTTCGCTGCCAGGTATGTATCAGCACTGTCGTATCCATGGAAACATACCCATGCATTTTGTACAACTTGATCTAAACCTTCCAACAACAGCCATGAGTTGAAAATTTTAAAGCAAGAAGGACCAAAATCACCCCGTTCAGAGGAGAGGGTAATTGGGCAGTGGTCTGAAATTTCTCTAGGATGAGTAGTAGCAGTTAAAGATGGAAAGGAATTTAAGAAGTTAGCACATGCCAAAAATCTATCAAGTTTACTGAGTTTCGCATCAACTCTACTCATGTATGTAAATCTTTCCCCACCGATCTGAAAGTCTTTAATCTACGCCTGTCGAATGAATCTGTTAAAACTAGCAACACTTGAAGGACAGAAATGTGATATGTATCGCTCTTCCTTCCATCGAACCTCATTAAAATCACCAAAGATTAACCATCTTCCACTTTTCTCACGTTTGATACGTAGTAAGTCTCTCCACAACTCTTTCTTTTCAGCAGGCGTATGGGGACCATATATATTAGCAATTATTGTATTTCCTGCAATTCTTGTCCATTTACCAACAATAATCAGATAATATCGATTCTTCAAGACTTTAGTCTTATGAAAGTACTTCGTGTCCCAAATTGATAACAGACCACCAGATCTACCACTCGCATCTACACCTTCACAATCAAACTCGGAAGAGTCCCAACATTCGTTTACATTAATCTTCGTGTGATCTAGAAGTTGTGTTTCTTGAATACCAACAAAATACAAAATTGGACCTATGTTTAGCTTTCAATTTCCTGACCCAACTTAACTTAGCATCGACCCCAACACCCTTGATGTTTAGGGATAAAACATTCATTATAGACCAGGGTGCACACCAATCTCACCAACAATTTGAGCCAATATGACATTGCTCACATCAATCTGAAAGCCACATTCAGCCCCAATTTCTACAATCTGCGATATACCCACCGATGAAGAACTAGAGCAATCGCCTTGATCATCTGGAGCTGCTTCATGAGAAGCCCCAACCAGGTTTCGATTTAAGTCCAAGGCATCGATAACTTTAGTAATTTCTTTGGATTTGGGGGAGTGGGGTCTGTCGACGTAGCGTGAGATACCAATGGTACTATAATGAAAGTAGGAGTTGGAGTTTCACAGCAGTTATCTCTTTTCCGTTTCTTGTAACTTGGGCTAACTGTGTTGGGATACCCAGATGTAATATTTTTTCTCGATCGTTTCAACTGGGCCGACTTATTATTCCATTGAAGCAAATGGATATGGAAAAGGCCCAAAACATCCAAATTGGACCAAATTTTGGGATAGCCCAAAATGTGTGTTACCTGGTAGCACCGCCTTCTGATGCTCCAAGTTATTGACACTAATTCCTTTAATATTGTTTTCTACTTCAAAAGTTCCAACACTCACGTTTCCAACCGACTTGTTATTGAGAATCTCAATCGACTCATCCTTATTAAATTATACATTAATTCTAGATGTGTTCCCTATGACCACCGGCGATGAAGTTTTCTAACAGTCTTGATTCGCTTTTTTGGTATCTTGATTCCCATGGCCCTCTTCCTAAGATTTCACCGGTGTTGATGTTTCCTCCACCCTCCCGGTTAAGTTCACATTTTCCTGTACAATCTCACCTTCTTCTACATCAGCATTATCCTCTCCCATCCACGTATCAAATATACCTTCTACATCCTTTTCATCTTCTGATTCATCCTCTGACAAACCCACCTTGTCATCATCCGATTCTTCTTCAACTTTATCGAATGGTGCTGGATGAAAAGGAGACCAATCGTCCGTATACTCGACTACACCCAGATTGTAATATTTTTTCCCATATACCATAATTGTTACTTCTTCATTGATCCATTTTCTTTGGGAAGTTAGGACTCCTACTTTACCCATGGAGTAGTCCTTTCTCGTATAGATTTTGTTGAATGGGGAGATGACTCTACCAAATCTTCCTGCAATCTTGGAAAAGTTTTCCTCTTCAAACATTGTTCATGGATGTCCAAGGATTTTCATCCAAGCAGTTCTGACATATGGCAATTCCTTCTCATCTGCACAAATCATCCACTTGAACCAATCTTTCCATCTGTTTTTTTCTTCCAGGAAATATCTAGCTTCCATCGAGTTGCCAAACCCCAAAGCAATACTTAGGCCTCCCAAATATTTGGTTTCTTCATTCATTAACAAGGATGCAGGGAGGTTACCATTATGGTCGAAGCTATGTGCTTCACCTATTAGAGTCTTTTTATCTATCCATTCATTCATCAGTGTTTTGGAGTTGAGGGTAATGGGAAGATTGTTCAGCGGCTGTGTCACTTTTAGACCTCCCGTATCTTGTGCATAAGACCGTTGGTTTCTCATTCCATTACTCACCGGAGGTGGAGGGAAGTTTTTTTGGCGAGGGTGGTGATTGATGTCTTGTTTTTTCTCTACGGATTTCCTCTTGTGTCTAGATAGGTTGATATGTAGCGAGAAGTCTCCAAACTTGCTACTCTGCAGCCTATCTTCTAAAGCCTTTACATCTTCTACTCCTCTGAATCTTATGAATGCAAAGTACATTACTCTGAAGTCTTTTCTTCCACCCATTTACACATCTGTAACGTTGCCATATTTAGCAAAAAGTTTCCATAGCTCTGCCTTACAATTGCTTCTAGGAATCCCTGCTACATAGAAACTGATTATCTCACCGTTTGTTATTGCAGTAGACGTGCTTTTCTTTCTCCGAACTTCCGACCACTCACCAATGTTTGGGAGCATATTTTGGGATTGCAAGGGTATAAGTAATAGAACTAAAATGTGCAATAAAATTTCTTCCAAATATAAAATTAAAGAGAATAATGTTTTTATTTATTTATTTAATAGAATACGTTTTACATATTATTGAGATTGGAAAAGTTGTGAGGTATGGTATGAGTTGGTGTAGAAAATACTTGAAGTTTTTTGATGAATATGACTGGTGAAATTAAAGTTAATTGATGAATATTAGGTCTTTAAATTCTTGTCGTGTTGGTAGCAATCGAAAGAAGGGATGCATAAAACATTTATGGGATACAAATGGGGTGGGGTAAATATTTGTGTAATTAATAATATTTGATCGCAAGTATAAGAGTTAATTAAGAATCAATCAATTAATAACAATGGATAATGACTTAAAAGGGTAATATATTTTTTGATTTGTATATATTTGGTCATTGAGTTTTTTTTCGTCCACATTTACCCCTTCAACTTGTTAAACTGTACACATTTAGTCCTTATGACCGGCTACTCCAGGTTAGCCGGTAAAAATAATTTAATAGGGTAATATATTTATCACTTTGCACACATTTTGTCCTTAATATTTTTGTACACATTTAGTTCTTAATATTTTTGTACACATTTAGTCCTTAATATTTTTTTTGTTGCAAAATAAGTCATTTTTTGTTTTTGTACTCATTCAGTACTTATGAATGATTTATTTAGGTTTTTCTCATGACATCTTACGTGAGATAATCATTAATGAGGTGTTATGCTTATGTCCATCGCGATCTTGACTACTTGGTTGCTTAGGTCATGTGTTCTGAACGCTATAACTTCTTCATACAATCTCAGATTTTAACGATATTTATATCAATGCGTTTTTGTTTATAAAATTAGTCTACTACAATTTTAACGGAGTAATTAATGAAAGTTGTAATAGACTCAAAAAAAGAATACGTGGATATAAAGATCGTTAAAATCTGATATCGTATGAAGAAGTTACGAGATTCAGAACACAAGACCTAAGCCAAACCACAAGACCTACGCAACCAAACAGTCGAGATCGCGATGGACTCATCAACAATCCCAAACACCTCATCAATGATTGTCCCACGTAATATGTAGTGAGAAAATCTTATAAAAATCATTCATAAGTACTAAATGAGTATAAAAACAAAAAATGACTTATTTTGAAATAAAAAAATATTAAGGACTAAATATGTATAAAAATATTAAGGACTAAATGCGTACAAAATGAGAAATATATTACCATATTAAATCATTTTTCCCTGATAACATGGAGTAACCGGTCATAAGGACTGAATGTATACAGTTTAACAAGTTTAAGGGCTAAATATGGACGAAAAAAAACTCAGTGACCAAATGTGTAAAAATCAAAAAATATATTACCCAATCATTATCCCTAATAACAACCACTCAAAAGTTTAAGTGGCATCATCAAAGTTTTGGATCCGACGATTTTGGAGTTCGCTATTGTGGCTATCGTCGTTGCTCTTCATCGGCAGGGTCAAATGCCTACCATTTTCTTCTGTTCTCAATCATCTTCTAGTTTTGATGGTTGGTAACGGGAAGGGTGATCGAAAGAAGTCTACTGAGAATAACACAAGGTATGTCGATAATGTATTTGTACCCTATTACGTGACGAATTTTCCACAAGATGTTGATGGTAAAGCTCTATAGTCAATCCTTGGTAAAGTTGGGACTGTCTCGGATGTATATGTGGCTCGCAAATTATCTAAATTGGGCAAAAGGATTGCGTTTGTTCGCTTTATCAAGGTTCTCGATGCAAAGGTTTTAGAAGTGAAACTCTAGGAAATTTGGATTGGCCAGTTTCATCTTTTTGCGTCTATTGCTAGATTTCGCAGGGATTCTATGGATCATGTTTAATCCTGTTCCCGGAATCAAGGTGTACGTCATGGTCCCCAGGTTGGGTCGTATGTTAACTTTGTTAAGGGAGGATTGCATGGGAATTAAAAATCTTCTAATAACGCCACTGTATGTTCTCTTCAGCAGGGTGAGATTGCCAATAAACTTTCTAGTCAAGAGTCTATATTTGGGATGGTTCGTGACGTTAGATTAATTCCAAAACTTGTGATCTTGTTACGGGAAGAAGGATTTCAGATATACAGATTCGCTATGTCGGGGGTGATTGGGTGTTGGTTTCATTCGATGCAGTGGGGGCTTGCACTAAATTCACAAATGCTTCTGGTATTCGTTCTTTTTTTTTCCACCTTTAGAGCGGTTGTGAATGATTTTTTTGTATGAGAAAGGGTAATATGGATAGAATTGTTGGGACTTCTATGATGTGCATGGAATGATGTAGTAGTATCTAAGATTGCAAAAACTTGGGGCGATGTGTGTTTTTTAGAAGAGGATGATGAAGCCCCCTTGGCTATTCAGTGAGTGTGTATCAAGACAGTAAATATGAGGTTGTTGCACGTGAATTGAATGTGAGGTTGTTGCACGTGAATTGTCAAACTGGGAGCCCGATATATTGGAGAAAGGAGCTAATCTTGATCTGGAAATTCCAAGTTTGTCGGGTGATTCAGAAGATGATAACTGTTTTGATAATGCCTGGGATGAAGAACCTAACAAAAATGAGTTAGGAAGAGAATATGGGGAAATTGGGGATGATTCAACTGAAGATGGTGACAATGATATTCAAAATTGTGAAAGAGGAACTGGATTTGTTGATAGAAAAGGAAGGTTTTATCCTACTAGTGGTGTCAAAGGGGTTAAGGCAAGCCATAAGTCTTCCACTCACGTGAATAATAACAACATAGGATCTCAACTGGATCCTGGTGCACCTCCTAATCTTACTGCTGACTTAAATTTTGAAGAAGTGGTTTCTCCTGTTACAGCCTCACGGTCGATTGCTAGGGAGCCAACAGCGTAACCAAATGTTTAGGCTACCGTTGTCTCGCCGACAGTGGGTATTCAGGATGGTATTAAGTCAGAATCTCTTTCTCAACCTCCGGGGGTTTGACGTGATTCTCATGTTGATGTTAGCTAGGGGGATGGCATGTCGTTTAATGCCTGGTAATCTAGTACTCATGGCCCCTCTAAATTGTTGAAGAAACGTGTTCTGGTTGATGATGGTGATATCGATGACATTTTGAAGCAATACTATGAAATGGGTAGTCTTCTTGGCTATGATATGGATGGAAATAAGGATAAGGTTAAGAAGATTTTATCCAGTATTTGTGTGATTCAAGTGGACCAATGAATTGTATCTCGTTGAATATTTGTGGTACCTATACTTTCTTAAAAAGAAGTTGGGTTAAGTCTTTATGTTTACAAAATGGGGTGTCTTTTTTGGGTCTCCAGGAAACGTGAATGACGAAAGTTGATTTATTCAAAATTCGTAGTATGTGGGGAAACTATAACTTTAACTTTGCTAGTAGTTATACTTGTGGTCGTTCCAGAGGTCTTTTGTCTATTTAGGTTCATGTTAACTTGAATTGCTTTATGGTTAATGTTTATGCTCCACAAGATCTTGCGGGGAAACAAGAGTTATGGGACTATCTTCTTTCTTTTGTTCGAAGAAACAGGGGTAATTATGTCATTTTTGGCGATTTTAATGTGGTTAGGCAAGCTTCTGAAAGACTTGGCTTAGTTTTTTCCCCCAATTGTTGCCAACTCTTTCAATGATCTTATTGATAATCTTGGAGTTGTTGATGTGCCTATGATTAGTAAAAGGTTTACGGGAATTGATATTATTAGTGCTAAATTAAGTAAGCTTGACCGTTTTTTAGTTTCAGAAGATTTTTTTTGAGGCTTTTGAAAACTTGCAAGTTGTTGTCTTAGATAGGAAATGGTCTGACCATTGTCCTATATTGTTGCATTCTAATTTGGTTGATTATGACCCTTCTTCTTTTAAGTTCTCCAACTCCTGGTTACATGTAGAAGGTTTTGCTGATGTTGTTATTGGAGCTGCTTCAGAATTTGTGGTTAACTAGGTTGGAGTAAATTTGTTTTATTTAAAAACAAATTGAAAATTTTTAAATCCAAAATAAGGAGTTGGCATTTGGCGTCCAAGTCTCAATATGAGGTTGTTCATTCTCAGTTGTTGTTATAGTAGAACAATTAGGTATCCTAAGTGACATCGCCAAGTTAGAAAAAATCAAGTCGTTGGACGTTGCTGAAAAAGCGAAGGTTACTTGGTGTATAGAGGGGGATGAGAATTCTCGTTTTTTTCATGGTTTGTTAAAACAACGAAGACGACATAAGTTGATAAGAGGTGTTTCTTTGGACGGGGTATTGATTGATGAGTCTAGTATAGTCAAAAAAGTTTTTTTTTAATTATTACGCAGCCAAATTCCAACCGTTTCAAGGTATTCCTATGGTTCGTAGAAGTCAAAGATCCAGAAGTATTGATCCAAGTGTAGCTTCTTCTATCGAGTCTATGTTTACGGATGAAGAAATCAAAAATACGGTGTGGGACTGTGGTTTGGATCGTGCTCCAGGTCCAGATGGGTTTACTTTTCGCTTCATTAGACATTACTGGGGATTGCTGGGTAACGATGTTATAGCCTTTGTTCAAGAATTTTTTGCTAGACCTTATTTCCCTACTGGGTTCAATTCCTCTTTCGTTACTCTTATATCGAAAGTCACTAATCCCATGTTAATTATGATTATCGTCCTATTAGCCTTATTGGTATTTGGTTTAAGGTCATTGCAAAACTTTTAGATAATAGACTTGCTCCTATGATTCAAGACGTCATTGGTTTAGACAATCTTCCTTTCTTAAAGGGCGACATATTTTAGATGGTCCCCTTATAGTGAATGAATTGACTTGGTGGTTTAAGAAGAGAAAGAAGAAACTAATG